TTTTTACACTGCACCCCTGCTCTCGACAGACAGCACCCCGGTTGGGAAACACTGCCGTAGAGGACTAATGGTCAAGGAGCAAGTCAGTGTTCATTAGGGCTGAACGATTTTGAAAAATCTAATTGCGATTATTTTTTATATTTTTTACCAATATTGCTATTGCGATTTAATATGCAATTATTTTTTAAAGCTCTTTATGTTCTGTGTTATTCAACTTCTGTATTATTCAAATTATTCAAGACAAGCTATAAATCATTGTATAGTATGACCAACACACTATTAGATAGATTTAAACATAAATGTTCTTTTCTGTAGGCCAGGCCTATATGTTACGATGAAATTAGGTGATGCATGAATTGATATGAATGACGTTTTTATTTAACAACTCCAATCACAGTAGTATATTGACTGATTTGTTGAACTTCCAACCGTGTTAGCATGTAGTAATTATGACAACATAAAGCACTGACAAATAAACCCGGTGTAAACATTAATATGAAAGTCGGTAACAAATCACACAAACTAAAGTAGATTGCAGAAATATAAAAACAAATCTGTTGCTTTACCACACTACTTTAGGTAATTCAAAATCACTGTAATAAACATATGTAAACATGTGCACTGCTAACTTTAGACCAGTGGTTCTCAAACTTTTTTGGTTGCGCCCCCCTCAGACTACCAAATAATTTCACTAAACATTATGAAAAATTAATGTTTTTTTAATTTAAAAAACCTACAGGGAAAAAACACATGCATCACTTGAAACATTGAAAATAGCATAGAGAGAATAACTGTTATTATTCAAACTAAAGTAGATTGCAGAAATATAAAAACAAATCTGTTGCTTTACCACACTACTTTAGGTAATTCAAAATCACTGTAATAAACATGTGGACTGGACTAATCTGTTAACTTTAGACCAGTGGTTCTCAAACTTTTTTGGTCGCGCCCCCCTTTAAAGCTATAAAAAAAATCTGCGCCCCTTCCCCTTCCCAAAACCCCATTTCACCTCAGACTACCATGGCAAGGCAAGACAAGTTTATTTATATAGCACATTTCATACACAATGGTAATTCAAAGTGCTTTACATAAAAGAAATGAAAAAATAATTTAAAAAATAATCACAACAATGAAATACCAAATAATTTCACTAAACATTATGAAAAATTAATGCTTTTTTAATTAAAAAAAACCTACAGGGAAACAAACACCTGCATTACTTGAAACATTGAAAAATAGCATAGAGAGAATAACTGTTGTTATTATTATTATTATTCTCTCTGTTATTTTTTTTAATTTTTTTGTGGGTTTCATGCTGTCCGCGAAGGCATAGGACACACAGGCTTTCCTCCTCACCAACGACATCGTGTCTACACCGGACGCGAGTGGCAAAATACAGTAGAACCATTATAATCAGTGACGCTGTGTACACTGGATGCGACGCGACACACAACAAAACCAGACATTAAACTGATGCCTTGTTCTATTTATGACGTCCTGACACAAAGTTAAAATGATTTACAACGGTCGCTTTGTCGCGTCAGTGTAGAGCTGTTGCGGCACGACGCGACAACTGTAGCGTCCGGTATAGAGACGGTGAGTGAAGCCGAGAGCAAGATATACCTCGTCATGTTTTCTGCATTTAGCTTTTAAATGAACAGACTTCATCTGTGGCTTTTCTCTTCGCTTTCACAAACGATCCATCTCTCATTCTAAGTTACATCCTTTTAGATTTTATTTCTTTTCTTTTTCTGCTGATGGCCCACGCTCTACTTGAAGCAGCGCTGCTTTGACCGATGGGTGTGTGTCATCAAAGTACTGCGAGAGCTATAAGAGAGCGCGGACGTCTCCTTATGCTTTCTCTCGCCTACTTTGATGTCATAGGCTACACCGATCGATCCTCAAGTCGAACACACCTCTTTACTCTCGCGTCACGTGTCACGTGACCGAGTGTAATCGCAGCCTCTGCGATTGAAAAATCAAGTTTTTTCATATCGCGATATTATCGCAAATGCAATTAATTGTTCAGCCCTAGTGTTCATGCAAGGAATTTAATTTAATATTAACAAAATACACCGATATTACAAGAATCATTTCATTTCTTGTTTGTATCTACCCTGGTTTTTGCTCATTTTGTCTAATTTTGGAAGATATAACATCTGTTCTGACATCATCTAGCACAATCCCAGTGTCACTTCCGTCCTATCATCCCTTAACTCCAGTTTCCAGTGTGCTTCACCATGCACTCAAAATGAAGTCATGATTTAGCACTAGGAAGCCTTATGACCCGCTAAACTGGAAAGTTTCGTTATTTCTGAACATATCCACCTTATTTTTCAATGTGGACGTAAGCTGTTTTCTGTGAATGTGTGAGACTTCTGCTTCATTGGCCGCAGTAGGGAAATAACAAGAAGAATAATGGTGCAATAAACGGTAAAATTGTTTGTGCTACAACCCAGTGTTTATAATTAAGAAAATACATTAAAATAATATGGTAAGAAACACCAGTTTGCAATATGAAGCAGCAAAACGAGCTGTTTTGTACTGCTAAAAATAGCTGGAAACGGGTGACACCGGAAGCCAGACACATTAAATTTACAAATGGCCGTGTCCGCTCTTGCGGGACAATTAAGATGGATAGGATATGTTTAGGGACGTTTGTACAATATTTGCCATCTTTATATTTAAGAAGTCATTTGTTTTATGTTTACACCATGTTGGGCACTTTGTGTGCTGTACTCGGTATAGAACTTTCGTTAACTACAACATGATTCAAGTAAAATTTTCTTTATTAACCATCTAGTTACATTAAGTTGACTAGTTAAATGTAAAACGAATTGAAATCTTGAGTCGGTCAAACATTCTGGAGAAGAAAAGAAAATAATAAAAAGATTTAATTTTTTGCCATATCGCCCAGCCCTAGCCAGCCAGTTACTTACCTGATTATTATTATTATTATTATTTTTCTTAGAGTCTGCACAACCCAATCCAGCATTTGCAGGAGCTGCTGGTATTCTTGGGCCTCCTCCCAGAGGGTTAAAACCAGGTTAGTGCCTAACCAATGTGTTTGTTTGTGTTAATAGAAGTGAACTATCTAGAATAGTAACTGTGATTTTAAATGTATAGTTGCTTGACTTTTTTCACACATCCTCAGGTGGTCCATATGGAGGTCCCATGTACATGGGGGATTTACCACCCCGGGGTGGCATGATGCCTAATTTCTCCCCTGGCATGCGTGGGGGTATGGATGAACCCCCCATGAGGAGAGGTTATTCAGATATGGGAGACTTCACTAGCCCAGGTCGCTATGGTAACAGCATGCCTGGACCAGACAGGGGAATGATGGAAACAGACAACATGCAACATTTCCCTGACGATGGACCCATGCGCATGGGCCCAGATGGCTTTGGGCCTGGCCAGCGTAATGAAGGCAGGGGCAGACCTTTCCCTAATGACATGTCCATGAACAGCAGTGGTGACAGATTGTTGGGACATGGCCCTAAAGGCCCGGAGAACAATAGCCTCCCTGCAACACTGCTCAAATATCTGGTACTACTCTCTTTTTGAATAACAGTGCTTGTTGAAGCACTTCATGTGTTTATATTATCAACCATTTGGAGTTACTGAAATTTGTGTGTTTCTGTTTTATTATTAGGACTCTTTTCGTATTGAAAACGAGGACGATGCTCAGATCGTCTTGAAGGTCACACAGAAGCTCACAGATGTTCTGATGGAGTATCGCCTCAGAAGTATTTCAGCGGTGAAGGATTTCATTTATACTCTACATTTATTAGGCTATACATTTATTGTTATATTTGATTTTTATTATTATTTATAAAAAATCATATTTACTAGCTCAGATCAAACTCAAGAATTTAATTGGAATTTTAAATGTAACTAATTCTTAATGCCACACAATTCTGATCATCATTTGAAAATATTTGACTGTAGAATATCAGTTGTTCCAGAGTGCCATGTAATAGAAACAGACGACTAGCCTGTAGTTATGTATAAGATTCAATATAAGATAGGGGATGGCCATTTCGGTTAATTTTCCCGATCGACAACCTTTACTTGTTATCTGGACATTAACCGTTAACTGATAAGATTAGAATAATAAATTATTCTTAAATAAAAATAGAACGCATGAGTGTCTGTGACCCATTAAAAAAAAAAAAAAAACTAAAAAAATTTTTCACTGGTTTATTTTAACGTGCAAACAGCAGCATACAGAACAACAGAACCTGGATTCACACATCGTCAAATTATCACACACCTGCAGCGCTTCTGAGAACAGAGAAAAACAGAATAAAATAACAAATAAAAAGAATAAAATAATAGGCCTACACTAAATATTTTTCAATTAAATAATTAACATTAAGATGACAAAACGAAAACACTGAATCCTTCTACGCATCTTAAAGAACCGGCAGTTTTTTTTTTTCATCAGACATAAAAAATAAATAGAAAACCTACCTCAGTGCACAATGTGTCGAGTTTTTACTTATAAAAAAAAAAAAAAGGTAGCCTAAAATGTCGACGTGCTGTGCACATTAATTTATTTGTGCTTTTTTTCCCCCCTAAAATATTATATAGTTTTATAGGAGGAGGTTTCATAGACTTGGCAAATTCATTTTTCAGAAGTTTGTAGGTACAGACATCTGTTGTGGGCATTCTTGGCAGTTTGAGGCTTTTTAAAATATTGTTCCTATCGATATTAGAATTATGGAACTAGACGAAAACAAGGAGATCAGCACACTCTACAAACTATCCCCGCAGCATTTAGGCAGGCATTTCCAACAGATTCAAACAGGGCACAACAAATCACCGTAACAAATCATGATTAAAAAATTGTAAAAATCAAGGAAATTCCTATGGCATTTCTTTCTTTTTGCTGTATTGAAAACTAGGGCTGGGTAAAAAAAAAAATCGATATCTCTATTTTAATCTATTCTCATTTTTACGGAACGATATCGATTCTTCAATCCCAAGAATCGATTATTCTAGCCTGTTTTCAGTTAATGGATGGAACATTGAAGGGTACTTCCCATCCAATATATCGCAAATAAGCATTGTGCTTTGGTACTTTTAAAATGAACTAGGGCTGCACGATAAATCGCATGCGATATTTAATGCGCATCTTGTCAGTAAAGCCGCTTCTGTAATCAGCGGTAAATCTCCATCACATGCGGGCTTTCACATGGAGCAGCATTTACTACACAGAGCCGTTGTTCACTGACAAGATGCGCAAAAAATCGCGCGATTATGAACTGTATAGTAAATGCTGCTCCATGTGAAAGCCCGCACGTGATGGAGATTTGCCGCTGATTACAGAACCGGCTTTCTGACAGGATGCGCGTTAAATATCGCATGCGATTTATCGTGCAGCCCTAGTC